TTATTTTTTAGTTTTCGGCGGACACAACATCTTTGTTTGTATGTGGTGCTGAGGATCGAACCCGGGCCACACTCGTGCCAGGCGAGCGTGCTACCGCTTGAGCCACTTCCCCAGCCCCAAGAGATGGTCTTGAAGTGATTTTATTAGAAGGAATAATGTTGGCTTGGAGTATCTAAATTGGCAAAGGACGGATGTAGGTGTAACTGAATGGTAGAACACTTGACCAACACGCACTAGTCCCTGGTTTCAATCCCAAGCATTCCACAATAAATAAATAGATGGAGATCTAAAGTAGTTTATATATATTAATTTCTAATTCACAAATATACCTTAGCTTAGAATACATGATGTTGTTTTCTCAGTGACTAAGTTTTCAGTATGTTATATAATAATGATTTTCAAAGCCTAATGTGCACATAGAGCATCTGTGGATCTGGTTAAAATGGTTTCATTTTCAGTAGGGCCGGGTGTGGAACCTAAGATTCTGCATTTCTGTGTAGCTTTTTTGTGGTACTGGGGATTGAACTCAGGGGTACTCGACCACTGAGCCACATCCCCAGCCCTATTTTGTATTTTATTTAGAGCCCTATTTTGTATTTTATTTAGAGTTGCTTAGTGCCTTGCCATTCCTAAGGCTGGCATTGAATTTGGGATTCTCCTGTCTTAGCCTCCCAAGCCACTGGGATTATAGGCACATGCCACGGAGCCCGGCTCTAAGATTCTGCATTTTTAATGAGCTACAAGGCAGATGATGCCCATGCCATTGGGCATATTTGGAGTAAAGAATGTCTAGGATGAGTAGTTGTATTAGGTCAGCTTTAAGGCACATAACCTTGGGAGACTATAAATATCCTAGGGTAGAGTATCTGAGGTAGTATAAAGAAAACTGCACTGGAAACAAAAGGACCAAAGTTCTAGGGGCTTTTTTGATTAGTCATTTGTTAGTTATGTGGGCTAGACCTTGAGCTAGTTCACTTACTTCGAGCTTTAGTATTTACTCTCTTTTTTTTTTTTTTAAATATT